CGGATATTTGTTCTCTTCCATATTAAAACCTTTCTGACTTTTGGCAAATGTTCCTTAGAATCTAAGCAGAACAAATATTGGCACGTGTGGTTTGGGGGTTTTGTTGTTTTTTTTCTCGTTGATTTTGTTTCCACCCCCCCACACACTTAGGAACATCAACACCCACCCACCTGAACTGCCAATAAGGCTTAAAAACTGTGATTATACAATTATTACAGCTGTCCCTGCCCTGATGAAAATACCCTAGATTGTAATACAATGTTAATAACATTAGTGGACATAGATTCCTGTTGCTACATTGTGAATGGTATGACAACTACTTTTCAAGGAATTTTTTAGTCGGTAATTGAGTGTGGCTCTTGCACAGGAGTCTTGAATATGTTTTGAAAGTAAAAGTTAATCTCGTGTGATTTAGTTGCTGTTATTGAGTAAGTTTTTCTCCTGTTATTAGATTGAACTCATTTATATTTATGTCATACAAGCACACCAGGTGACATTTCTTTATGTACTACAATGGTGTGTCTGAGTTAAATGCTCAAATTACAGATTTTCTATGAAGGGCTCTAATTTCGCACACTGCAGTTTTGTATCTGCGTTGTGCATCATTCATAACCAACTTCTTCTAAATCCAGAAGTTGGAAAATATTACTGGTTGGAGTCTTTATAAGTCTTTGAAAGGAAATGTAACTTTTTGTTTTTGTAGTTTTGTCATATGCTTGTCAATGGAGCATGGAAAAACTGTTCAAACCATTACATTTCCTCCGTCGCTGGAAGTTGTCTGTAATACCATAAGTTTGAATTCATTCAGAAGTCAAATTGCTGTCTAAAGTTTAGTGCTGCCATTGCTTTAGGTTTCCCCTTGTGTTGGTTCTTACAATGAGATTCTGGATTTTGCTCCTGACCAGTTCCCCTACGGTCATACTGGTAGGGAGCTGGGGTGTGGCAGAGCACACAGCTCTTGGAGGGGTGAAGGGCCTCTGGCCGTTTTGAAGGAAAAGATGTACACCTCCTTAAACTGTCAAATGCAATGAACACAGCTCTTGTGTAAGTAGCTGAATTAACTCCAGTCTTTGTTCTAGTTTATAACTAGTTTGCAGTTCCTCATTTGTTGTGCTTTTTTGAAACTTCTGGGGACTGCAGGCTTTTAGTGTGAATTCACAAATATGTAAGTGTTCCGAAATATTTGTTTCCATCAGCTAGCTCGATTTGGCTGTCCAAAATCACATATAGGAGCAGTTTTGCTACAGATCAAAATGGGGCACAATTTTGTCCTGATCACTTGGGTTCTTGTAGATGACGTGATGTCTGTAAGATATTTCTACCCATGTATTGTAATAATAGTGTGTCTTAGAGGGATGGTTTTCAACATGTATAAAAAAACCTGCCCACTGGGTGGTATAAATAAGGATTTTGTTTCTAGTTATTAAGTATTTCCATAAGGCTAGGATTATTTGTCTAGGTGTCATTTGTTGACAAAGCTGCCATTTTTATTCAGGGGCATTATTGAAAGTATATTGTAGAAAAAGTATTAATACCAACAGTTTTACTAACGGAAAAAATTCTCTTCATCTTTGTATCACCTTTTGTTGAGTGAAAAGTTGACTACCCCTTTAGGAGGGGAGAGGAGGTGGCAATTTGCAAACTTAAAAACCAAAGCCTTATGACTATGATGTTAGAATAGTTTAAATGGAGTACTGTTAGTCAACAGGCTGCTAATTCAAAAAAAGAGCTACTGTAAGTCTTATAAGTAATTTGCTTTAGGGGATTAGATCTGTTTTATATCAGATCTGGGAGTTGCTTTTAGGCTTTTACTATTGTATAGCAATTAGATTATACTGGTGTAAGTGAAACGGAAGAATAGATTCTAGGTTTTAGTCAAATTAGTTTGGCCTTCAGAGGAAGATGGTGAAAGAGATGGAATTTACATCTAGGAACTTTTGGGATTCATTTTAATGTATTTCAGTTTAACTGCAACTTTATGAATAGATTTTATGGAATTTATTTCACTGCAATCCATTTCAAATTCTGCAGAACATTTGTCATACATTGAGGTACCTGACCACAGATACATGACTTGCCTTCAAGTGAGAAAGTGTTTCCATTCATAACCTTTTTAGTTGGGCCCTAACAAATTCGCCAGCAAAAGTAAAAAAATCACAAATTCTGTAAACTGGCTATTCTCAATTGCAGAGTGTATTCCTGAGTTAGAAAAAGTAGAAGAAAACGCTTTTTCCTAATCACTTGGAGGGAGGGGTAGGTTAAGGAAAAAAATCGGTTGTCATTCTTGTCTGTTCCTTTTAAAATTTGAAAAACTTATCTTTTTTTTTTTTTTTGGCTGGGAGAATGGATTAATATCTTCAGAGATAAGATCCAATGGTTGCAGCTAAACTCCAGCCCACTATTCCACAACTGCCCTTTTCTATTAATTTGTGCTATGCTTAGTGTCCCTTTCTTGAAAATTAACTTGGGGAGTAGCTTAGGTGTTCTAGATGGCCTTCTTTTTTGCTTCCCTTCTCTTATGTACTTGCTGCTGACAGAACTTCCTCTCAGTGGGTACATGTAAGACAGCTAATCTGTGCAAAACCTGGAACTAACAGTGTATTGCATGTTTTCTAAAGGTGGGGCTTTGTCCAGTCATTTTAAAACTGACTTAAGTTATTTACTTCTCTTGTGTGTAATTCAACTTGTTTGAAGTTCCTGCCACCTTTCTCTATAAAGCTGAAACCTGATCATTATTTTAGGTTTTTTTTCTGCTGATCATTAGACTGGATTTTGATGGATTTTGATTTTTTGAAAGAGCAGTTATTTGAACATATTCCAGGTGATTGCTGCTTTATGGTACTTAACTACTACCTCTGTCTGCCCATAGTCAGTGTTTTTGGCAGATCAGATCAGTAGGTGCGTTATGATACGAGAGAGGACTGTGTGTAGATAATCCATTTTGTGATCTGTCTCTTCTTATAGGTAGCATCATCTTCGAATTCTCTTTCATTATGGTGTTGAGAGTAGCTTCTGGGCTGTTACTTACTCAGCTTAGATTACTGCTATTTCCTAATAATCATTGCTGTGGTAGAACCTATTTCTTATCCTGTATTGTAAACTATAAAATTTGACTTTTCTTTAATCAGTTGTTAAAGTGTAAACTAAATTTAGATTCTAATGATCCGTTGAAACAAAAATAGCTGAACCTGAAAGAAATTGACAGTATTTCTTTATTTAGAAAAAAGCTAATACTTTGCATTACTATGGTACCTGGATTCTTTGGTAATGGTGTTTGTCTCATTTCACTTTATTCCTTATTAACACTTATTTCTTTCTGTTTCACCCTTGCACATTATTGCTGAGAAAAATAAATCAGGAGCTAACCAGCTAGTGAAACAATGGTTGATTACAATAGATAACTCTTGTGAATAACCAGGGGAATTAAGTAACATGGGGTGAACTCCTATTTCCTTACAGGAAAGATACTGGAAATAAAGTATTTTCCAGATACCTTCTTTAAACAACTTCATGCTGGAATTTTGTTCCCTGTGTTACAGTTCCATTTTGCCTGTGAACCATATTTTTATTTAAATGAGTGTAAAGAAGTCAGTCAGTCATGCATAAACCAGCAGAATTCATTGAGTAGTAAAAAATGAAAAGAGACATAGTTGATCCAGTTTTGTCCAACAGTTGAAAAGTTCTTTAAGCTCAAAACTGCACTGTTCCAAGCGACAAAATTTTATATATTTATAATGTAAATGCAGCAGAATAAAAAGAATCTGTATTATGGGTAAAACTAAAATATTTGTTTTAACCTGCCAAGCATAGCATTGAGTAAATAAGGTGCAGAAAATTAATAATAACTTCAGGATAAGTTCTCTTCTTACTTAACCTTCTGTATTACAAATAAATTAATTTGGTCACACTCATGTAACTAGAGCATCACCTGAGGTGCCTGTCAGAAACACCTGACAAGAAACATATCTATGAAAAAAATATACCCTGCTGATTTACTAGTCATCCAAATTCTGCCTCAGCTATTTCTGATTGCAGCAAGTGTCTGAGAGGACAGAATTGAAGTTATTAATCTGGTCTGTACATTATCGTTATGGAAGAACTCAATGTTAAAAATAAATTCTTTATTTTCAAAATCCAAATGCTTTGAAGTTTTTGGTTTTTTTCAGAAGTACATAATGTTCTATTAGGCCTTTTGGGTTATCTGAGTGGTTTGATCTTTTGGCAAGAATTAAAGAATCCATGGGTGAAATTTTAAGCATCATAAAAGATAATTAGGGCAACGAGGCTGTTGAAGGGTCTGGAGAACAAGTCTTATGAGGAGCGGCTGAGGGAGCTAGGGTTGCTTAGCCTGGAGAAAAGGAGGCTGAGGGGAGACCTCATCGCTCTCTAC